TGTGTGTGTGTGTGTGTGTGTGTGTGTGTGTGTGTGTGTGTGTGTGTGTGTGTGTGGTTTCAGAGTCGGGGGTTTTTGAAGGTCTACAATAACACACACACACACACACACTGGTTGAGATGCGTGCAGAGATGAGAATGACTCAAGAGGAATGAATGCTCATGTGAGGCCCTCGCTCGTTGTTGTATTTGTGTGACTGATTGTGTTTGACTCTTCTTGTGGTATTTTACTGGAACTCTGCACCGCACATGTTGACTCAGCCATTTCTAATTTAGAGTGGTCTACTTTTAAACCCCAGCTGGAAATGTTTAAGTCATCCGTAAGATTAAAAAAAGGAAATTTTCCTTTATTTTAAAAGTTCTTAAAGGACCCAGAGTTGTCAAACAGATGTGTAGACATGAGAAATAAGCAACAGATTAAAATTTCATCTTATGATTTATAGAGAAAATCAACACAAGAAGTAAAGAAACTATTGAAGTTTACTGAAATAAATGCTTCACTTTAACGTTTTGTATTCTTCACGTTAAAAGCTTTTCATATTTCCAGCAGAAGTCAGGTTTATATTTTTATTTCCTGTTGACAGAAGGTTTTCATTCTGCTTCATTTAGACCAGCAGCCTCCAGACTTGTTTTCATTAAGAGCTACTTTCACAAAATGAAATTGTTTGAGCTACTTTTTTCAACATTTGATTTTAAACAAACTTAAATCAGTGAAATAAGCTTGTTTTGCACACAAAAAAAACATGTAGACTCCAGCAGAAGAAACCCAGTGCAATGACATATACCGCAGGGGGCGGGGCTTCCCAGGAGCTCTGCACAGTGCGTCTCAAGGAGCGATGAAAAGTGTGCAAAAACAAACGCCGAAAGGCATCTATAGATTGGAATTAAATCAAAGTCTGTTTGGAAAGTGACAAATTAAATGTTGCTTCTCCTAATTTTTCATAAGCACTGAAGAGCTGCTTTAAATGAGCTCATGAGCTGCTGGTTGGAGACACCTGATTTAGACTAATGTAGCTATTTTAATTTATAATCATTTAAAAATAAGTAGACATTTTTATTTTATAATATACCCATTATTTTAAAAAAAGTATATGTTTTTATGTTATAATGCACCCTGTATATATA